GGCGAAATTGATATTAAGGGTCTTCTTGATGCGCTCAAGCCTCTGCTCACCAAGGACTCAATCGAGGGTATTGTTGGTCTGCTCAACAATGCCGAATCGCTGCTCAATAAGGAGACCACGGGCCAGCTCAAGAACCTTATCAAGGGTGCTGGCCCTCTGCTCGACCTCTTGGGCGAAATTGATATTAAGGGTCTTCTTGATGCGCTCAAGCCTCTGCTCACCAAGGACTCAATCGAGGGTATTGTTGGCCTGCTCAGCAATGCCGAATCACTTCTCGACAAGGAGACTACAGGGCAGCTTAAGAATCTGGTCAAGGGTGCCGGTCCGCTCCTTGACCTTCTGGGTGAAATTGATATCAAGGATCTCTTGGATGCGCTTAAGCCTCTCCTCACCAAAGATTCGATTGAGGGCATCGTTGGTCTCCTCAGTAACGCAGAGTCGCTCCTGAACAAGGAGACCACAGGCCAGCTCAAGAACCTTATCAAGGGCGCTGGTCCTCTTCTCGATCTCTTGGGTGAGATTGATATCAAGGGTCTTTTGGATGCCCTCAAGCCCCTTCTCACGGAAGAGTCCGTCAAAGGAATTGTCAACCTGCTTGGCAACGCCGAGAGCCTCCTCAGCAAGGAGTTTGTCTCCGAAGTCAAGAGCCTCATCAAGGGTGCTGCGCCTCTCCTCGAGGGTCTCGGAGACATTGACATCAAGAAGCTTGTCAGCCAGATCACACCAATTCTGGATGAGGTTGGTGATCTCGACCTCAAGAGCCTGTTTGATGCCATCGCCCCTCTCCTCACACCGGAGAGCGTGGAGGGCCTGGTCGGTCTCGTCAAGAATGCCGAGTCACTTCTCACCAAGGACTTTGTCAACCAGACCAAGGATCTCATCGGCGATGCCGGTCCCCTTCTGTCTGCCTTGGGCGAGATTGATCTCAAGAAGCTCATCAAGCAGGTCATGCCCCTTCTGGACATGCTCAGCGAAGTCAATCTCAAAGACCTCCTCAAGAAGGCGGAGCCTCTCCTCGACCAGGCTGGGCCTCTCCTCGAGTCGATTGGAAAGATTGATCTGGTCGGTCTCGTCAAGAAGATTGCCCCGCTCCTCGATGCACTCGATGACGTCGACCTCAAGGGCATCATCGATGCCATCACGCCATACCTCACGGCCAAATACATCAAGGGCATCTTTGGCCTGGTGGAGAACGCTGAAGATCTGCTCAGCGACAAGTTTGTGAACCAGACACAGACCCTGATCGAGGGTGCTGTGCCACTGATTAAGACCTTGGACAAGATTGACCTCGAGGGTCTCTTTGATGTTGTTGAGCCCTTGCTCAAGGAGCTCGACGGCATTGATCTCAGCGGTCTTGTGGATGCTGTCAAGCCCATCTTGGCGGCCGTCAAGAAGATTGACATTGAGGGCATTGTGGACGAGGTCACGCCTCTCATCACACCTTCGAGCGTCAAGGGCATCCTTGGTCTTTTGAACAACGCTCGCACGCTGTTGTCGGACGCATTCGTCGATCAGACTTCAGAGCTCATTGGCGACGCAACACCGGTAAGTTCTTTTGCAACCTCCTTCAGGACACTATACTGACTTCCCCAGCTTGTGGCCACTGTAGCAGATCTTGTGCATGCGGTGCTGAAGGAGCTTATGGGCTAATATGATTGTAATGAAGGGGCACGAGATATGAAGGCGGATACATGCAATTGTGAATTAATTCAAATACCCTTTGAGCATTGAATGAAACATTCCTTAATATGAAAAATAATCGCAGTACAGAACGTTGTGCCCTCCTCCGGTGAGTGTGTGCACCAATAACAGGGGTGTAAAACACAACACGCGAAGCCTCAGTCAGGGCTGGGACCTTGCCAGCAAATTCAGAGAACACAGATCCCGTTGTCACGAAAGTGTTCGTAGCTGCCAGAAAAGAAAATAGTCAAATTCAATAGTGTGTTGAGGTATCGTCGGAATCATTACATTCGGCTCATTAACTCCGCCCATCCCCCTACTTGTGATGCTTCTTAGACCTGGCCCCAAGCCTCATGACGTTCAATGCCATGGAACCCCACGAAGATCGCTTCCTCAACTTCTCCCGCACAAGAGCGGCCGTCGTGCTATTCAGCGCCGTCCCATTGCCGGTGGGGTTGTCGTCGCCCCAGTGCTCGAGGATGTTGTCGAACAGCGTCTGGTTGCCAAACACATCGCCCGCGAGCTCACTGAGACTGGACCCGTCGTCGCTCAGGAATCCGTTCAGGACGTCGGCAATCAGGGCGATGACGGGGATGCGGGCACGGATCTTCTTCGCCGCGAGCACCTCCTCCAAGAAGGGGATCCGTTGGCCGTTGACTCTGGTGGCGTTTCCCGTGGCGTTGAACTCGACGACACCTTCGGATAGAGCGGCCTTCTGGTCATCCAGGATGGTGGCGAGATTGGGAATCAGCTCCTTGAGGTAAAGCTCGCCGTCAAAGTTGGGCGTGTTCATGCCAGGCTTCATCTCGACGTCGTAAATGTTGATGTAGCCCAGGGTCAGGTCGCCCGACTTGAGGTTGAAGGTTAAGTTTCCGAGGAAGAGCGTGAGAACACCCTGGTTGGGGAGGTTGAGCTTTCCTTTGAGGTTATAGCCGTTCTCTGCTGGGGGCAACTGGAGCCGCAGAGTGTCGATGCCGAAGCCCTTCAGGTAGTTGAGCGCCGGGACCTGGATCTCCTTGTCGAGGGTGGGGTGGTAATCCAGGGCCCCCAAGCTGACCTTTGGCTTGCCGTAGACCGACACGGGCACCTCCTTGAGATCAAAGACGCCGTTGAACCATTTGACGAGCTCGTCGTAGTTTGTGATAGTCTGCGTCTGCTGCGCAATGTCCAGATCAGTCTTGCCGTTGACCTTTTGCTTGGGTAGCTCGAGCGACAAGAACGCCTTGTCTGGGCCTGCGTCTTTGTTGTACAGACTCAGGTTGAACTCGTTGATGGTGGCTGGGAGCGGCGTGTCCATTGATGTCGTGAGCGAGATGCTGAGCTGGGTTGGGCTCAGCGCCCTGAGGTTGCCTTGCGTGACAGGCAGCTTCTGTCCGCTGACAATATTCTGGACAATGGCGGGAATGATCACCTTGAAACTGAGACGAGCCGGTCAGTTTCATGCCAATTTGATGGGTGCGAGGACGCTCAACTTACAAGACAGGCAGGAGGATTGCAAGTAGGATGATGAGGCCGATGAGATATGCCCACCAAAACTTGCGAAAGTGTGCCTTGGTCTTCTGCCACTTTGTGAGCTTTGGCGTCGTGTCCTTCTCCTGGACATGATCTGATGCGGACGAAACATCATCTTGGGCCGCTGCCTCTGAAGGTCCATCCGCCGCCGCAGCAGGCGCCTCGTTCTCGTCGCCGCGTCCGCCAGCGACAGTGTGTGCTTGCGCAGGCGGCTGAGGCACAGGATCGATATCCTCGTGGATTCTGTTGTTGGACGTCGCCATCCTGAGTGCTCGCGTGCTCGTGCGCGCAAAAGTGCCAGTGTGCTGAGTGTCAGTTTATCTAGCAGTCCGTAGATGCACTGGTAGACGTCCAGTCTCGTCTAATGAATGCCGATGTGATACTACCCAAGTTCAAAAAAAAAAAAAAAATAGGCCCAGACCACCGCTCATCACATGGCCCGGCGCCGATCAAAGAACCCGACCGAGGCAAGCTGGCGCGATATCTCGATTTCTTCGATTGGAAAGCCACCCCCTCATACGGCACGGATGCGCTTGCAAGTTGATGTGGTTATTCCAATTCAAAGACCATCTTCCGGAACACGGCAATAGGTAGTCCAGCTCTCCATGTCACCTAACACCGACAAAAGGGGCTGATCCCAATGAGGAGGGCCTCGAGTTGAGGTGTGTGTGGAGAAGCGAGTACCTGCAAAGTACCTCGAGTACATGCCCGTGTGGGGGCTGCATGAGCCGCGCAGGGCGAGGTCGTCGCCGGATACAGGTCTCGGAGAGAAGGCTGTTCGCGTCGTGAGGCTAATGGTTTGTTTCCCCGCACCTCGAACGAGACGGGAGTCGGACAAAAAGGGCATAACACGGTGATGATCTGTGAGGTGACGTTTGGCCGACTTGGTTCCAGACCAGGACGCTTTTCAATGCCACCTTGCGAGGGCACTTGTTGGCGATGGCCTCATCCTGGCGGCCAACGTTCTATTTGCGCAGTGGCTGACCAGGGCCCTCGCTCCCTGCCAGGGTCAGCCTGTCGACTCCGTGTCAAGCCAAGGCCCACGACCGCGCACGGGGAACAGGGCGTCTGGCTCCCCTGAGTTTCCATTCATTTCCCATTGAAATGCCACCCAAACTGCAAGAGTCTGCTCAGCTCGATGCGAGACAGGAGTCACAGGACTCGAGATAAGTAATATTTACTATGAAAACAAACGTTTACTATGACGAGAATATCACACAGCAGCGTCGCAAAGATGTAGAAGGCTATCACGCAGGACTCTTGCTTCAAAATGCCACTCTGTTGATGACTCTTTACTTTGCCGCCTTGAAATCCACCTCGCCGCTGGCCCCAATCATGCCGGATCGGTGATAGTAGCTTCTTGCTCTAACGTACGGGTCGAGCATCCAGTAATTAGACCTCAACTGGCTTGCAATCGTCCTCCTGCTGTCGTTGAGTTGCTCCCACTCCTCGCTGTGAGGCTCCTTTGACAGCCAGCTCAGTGTGGCTTGCTCAAACTGCTTGGCTAACTCATCGCGGTCGCTTCGCACCTCGTTGCGCTTCTCTACTTGTTCCATGCGCTCGTTCTCGCCAGGGACTGGGTCGATGTACTTGTATTCCCAAGTGTCGTCGCCGCCGTACGAGCAATGGAGCTGGTCTTTGTCGACGAACTTCATCAAATCCTTGGTAGAGCTGGTAAAGTTAATCTTGGACGCGATCACGGGATCCAGCCAGCCCTTGATGATGCTCCAGATTCCTGAGAATGATGGTCAGCTGCTTCCTGAATTCGATTGGAAAAGAAGTTGGCGCACCCCAGAACACGAAGGGTGCTTTGTGAATAAGAACCAAGCCCAGCGTTTCCGGGTATCTGGCCTCAAACACAGTCACCAGGAATTTCACCACGTGGAAATCCATATTCTTCACACCGAACCCTGTCAGGTCAAAGATGAGGCATGCCTTGTCGTTGGGGAACGACAGCATGGTCTTGATGCTTTCAATGTTGTGCAGTACATAGTTTTCCATGGCTTGCGACGTCTGGTTCTTCGGGTCGTGAAGTCGCACCTTGATGACGTAGAGTGGGCGGCCCTCCTTGTCCGCTCCCCGGACGTAGGACTTGCCCGACTGATACTGGCTGATGAAGCCTTGGTTGTCTTTGGACATTTCTGACTGCAGGCCAACGCTCTCGCCTTTGGCGATGATGTCGTGGTCGATGCGTCGCTCATCACGCCAGTTGAGGGCGGAGACCAGCATCTCCATGGCCTGCCGGACGTCCCACTTCCTCGCTCGCATGAAGCGAAGAACCGGCGCATCAGGATGCTCAGCGAGGATAAAGTTCCACAGTATCTCGCGGAATGACTCTGGGGACTTGTTGGTGAGCATGCTGGTCAGATGAGCGGTGAGAACGGGCGCTGTGTCGTGGGCCACGGTTATTCCGCAGAGTCGAAGAAGATGGAGCCATGCTTCCTGCATTTTGAGTTGCTCAGATTTCGTCAATTCGACAGAGGAATCAATGTCGACAAACTGAAGAGTTGTGGTGTCTGGGGCCTCAGTGGCCGTGATTGTCTGGGTCGCCATATTCAATGTTCCGGTGTGGTTGGCTGGGATTGTGTTGGTGTGATGATGCTGCACAGGTGTTTGACTTGTTTTCACCGGCGTCTTTTATCCTGTGAGGTTTCTACAATCAAATGTCATAATGTCGGTTGAATTGGAGTTGAGGAGAAGAGATTCGCAAATGCTTCGGAAGGTTGGTCTCGATGAGGAACAGTGCGATCAGCATACCCGCCCCCGTCGCCCCCGTGGGGTAGTCGCATTCGATCGATCTCATCTCACACATGCACAAACATTTAACGGAGGGGTCAGCAACACCTTGCCGAGGATCCTGAACTCTTGGGTTGCCCTTGCGAGGCCAGAAGCAGTTGGTAGGGTTGCATAAGACGTCAAGGTGCACCAGAATCGGGCAAGGTTGTTAGCAGCCTCCGCACGGTGTAACTGTACAACACAGGGCCCCGATCATGATGGCGGGGTCTAATTACTGCAAGCCTATCTAGAATTGCTAAGGTCTCATGAGACTTTATTCAACTCTCATGCGGCTTGGCGTGCAAATTCGTAGTCCCTCGTGTCACTTGTCACTTGACCACATGACAGAATGAAGTTTGAAGATCGTGTTCGTTCTGTAAACGTGATCCATTTTGAAAGATGTAGAATAAGAAGGCGTTGGGGATTGATGAATTTCGCATGTACCGCGACTACGAAAACTCCATATCGGTGACCACATCCCCCCATTTCGCAGCAGCGAGATCCGTCAGGTAGTCAGCCTTGGGCTCCCACTGCCCCTGGCCACCTTTTGGAAAAACATGTCCACCTACCTTGAAGTACGTAGACTTGAGTTTCATCATGGACACTTCCTTCATCGGCTTGGACACCCTCGGCACAGCAACTTGTGCGTTTCTCTTCTTCATCTCCCGCAGCAGATGCAGGAACATGTGCATGTTGACGTCGGCACCCAGCGTCCACGACGCAGTTTCGTAGCCCGTCAGGAACAGCATGTTGGGCACGTCCTGGATCATAGCTGACTTCCAGGCAAACATCTCTGAAAGATTGATCGGTTTGCCATCAACCGACATGTTGACGCCGCCGCCAAATTTGAGTTTCAGGCCGGTAGCGGTAACGATCACGTCGGGGTGCAAGGAGGCACCCGACTCGAGCTCGATGCTCTTCTCCGTGATCTGCTTGATCGTGTCTGTCACAATGTCGGCCTTGCCTCCCCTCAATGCTTGGAAAAAATCGCCATCCAAGCTGGCGCAGAAACGCTGCTCCCAAGGGTTGTACCGCGGTTTGAAATGAGGGTCGTGCTTGATGGAAGGTGGCAGCTGCGAGACCGTCAAGCTGCGGACCAAGGCCTTTGCAGCACCAGGAAATGTTCGACAGAACCACGTGGTGAGAATGCTGGTCAAGATGCAGAACATGCGGTTGAGAAAGTGGGCAAGCATGGTAGGCAGGAAAGCAAACAGCACGTTCTGAAGAGCCGACTTGTTCCGTCGTGCCATAATGTACGTAGGGCTCCTCTGCAGCATCGTGACCCTCTTTGCTTTGTCTGTCATGGCAGGCAAGACTGTGACAGCCGTGGCTCCGCTGCCAATGACGACAACCTCCTTGTCGGTGTAGTCGTAATCTTTGGGCCAGAACTGAGGGTGGATCACTTTGCCCTCGAACTTGTCGATTCCGGGGATAGTTGTCTGCAGAGGCGTCTCGTAGTCGTAGTAGCCTGTGCCCAGGAATAAGAAGTGACTGGTAAATAACACAGTCTCTTCCTCGCCTTTCACGGTAGCGTGCACCTCCCACATTTTTGTCTCTCCGTTCCAGTTGGCTTTGGTGACGGCGTGCTTGAACCGCATGTGCTGATCGATTCCTTGCTCACGCGCAGAGCGCACGACGTACTCTTTGATTTGCTGACCGGTTGGCATCACTTCTTCTTTTGTCCAAGGACTCCAGGCGAATCCAAATGAGAAGATGTCTGAATCACACCGGATTCCTGGATACCGAAAAAGATCCCATGTCCCACCGAGGCTTGAACGTGCCTCGAGGATAGTGTACGTGAGAGAGGCGCTTTGAAGTCGATACGCTGCGTTGATGCCGGATATTCCAGCGCCAACAATGATGGCGTCGTATGAAGGTGGCGAAGACATGTTTGCCCGCTCAGCACTTGAATGTACGGGTGCCTTTGTGATTTGGGTAAAGCGACGAGTTCTATCCGTGGCCTGCTTTGCGTAGAGAACGAGAATTGATCCTTTCCTCTCGGCTATGAGATACAAGACAGGAATCTGCTTCAACAACAGTCGGGCAACGAGTAGGCCTTATGGAGATCTTGGCGACAGACACGATGGCCGTGGGGCGAGCGGCGAGCCGGATCAACACAAGACATCGGCATCCGTCCTCGGTAGGGCGACAGATGCAACTGATACTGACCACAGACCTGAGCCGATGTCACTGCACACAGCCGAAAGAAAGTCGCAGCGGTCGTTGACATGTGATGCCTTGTTGGACCGCGACACAGTATCGCAGATACTTCAAGATATTGTACGTCAGTATCTCGACAGCATTGTCGATCAATGCGGCCCTCGCGAGCCTCGCAAGCCACCTGTGTTTTCCGTAGGGCGCCACTGGGGCGGAGTGGAATCTCGCTGGCGGTTGGCCGCTCGTGTAAGTGGGGAAGGGCCATACCGGCCCATACGCCCGTGTTACGTATATATGGGTTACATGCATATACGCGCGCAAGCAGGGGTTCAAAAGGGAAAGGCTCGGTGGCATGGAGGATTTCAACGTCGGACATGGAATCTTGTCTACATGACACATTCATCATTGAGGTCATACTCATCGAGTCTACATCCTATCTGTATGCATGTGAACAAAACAGCTCACTTGGTCAACCGCATCGCCAGCCCCTCCTGGTGGAAGAAGCGGTTTGCCTTGCGTGCTGCCATGTGACCCGCCTGTGTAAAGCCCATGCGAGGGCCCAGCAGGAGGAAGTCATGCGGACAACCTTCACTGACGTCGAGACTGACCTTGCAGCCTGCGTCGCGGTACCGCAGGGCCAGCTCGCAAATGTCTTCGTATAGCACCTCACGGCTTCCAGCATTGACGTACATTGGGACGTCTATCTTGAACGGGTGGTGAAGCGGCGAGAGGTACGGTCCTGCGGGATCAATCTTGCCGTGATTCGTCACGGTGGACGCACCCCAGATGCCAAAGTTGCGGTTGAGGTAGTCGGTGCCATAGTTGGGTGACAGCACCATGTCCTGGTGGAGAGCAGCTTCAATATCGACCCATGGCGACCACAGGGCGACACCAGCTGGGGTGGGAATGTTCAGTTCGCCGCCGGATTCGTGAATGTAACGCATCAGCCCGAGCGCAAGGTTGGCGCCCGCAGAGTCGCCCGAGATGATTATTTGCTCTGGTGGGATGCTGCAATCGCGCAATAGGTGGATGAAGGACGTCGCCGCGTCCTGGAGTTGCGCTGGGAACCAAGAGTGCGGGTGGCTGGATAGTCGATACTGGGGCGTGCAGACATGCGTACATCCCATATTCTCGATGAAAGTCTTGGCAACGAAGCCAGTGTCGTTATCTCGTCCACTACCGATCACATAGCCCCCTCCGTGGAAGTGCAAGGCCACCATGATGCCCTCGCGAGACGCGGGCTCTGCTGGCGTCCATGTCACGCCCACCGGCTTGGGCTTGATTTCCTTGTCAAGGAGCTGGCCTTGGTATAGCTTTGGCGAACCGGGCGACACGACCTTGAAGCGGTCTCTTTCTTGTCCAGGTTTCAGAGTCATGCTGTCTCCGAGTCTCAACAGAGACATGTACTGCAGTGTTACCCGCAAAAGACGGACTCGGACGGCTTGGTTGATGTTCCATTCCGGGACAGGTCTGGTTGGTGGAAGCAGAGCCTTGAGAATCCCCAGGAAAAGAGAGCTGAGGAGCCATGGCGTAGACACAATGAGTTGCAAGACCGCGGGCGCCATCTTCGTTCAAACGTTGTTCAGTGGATGTGTAAGTTGGGCAAAGTATCGTACATGCCGTGAAAACAGAGCATGGAGTAATTACCAATCAAGGGAAGGAGACATCATGGATGATTATATATTGAGTTTTACTAATGCACCCAGTGCCTCCATGTTGTTTGTGGTCAAGTGCTCGGTGTCCCTACTCCGTACGTAATAGCCCCAGGCTGAGTGATCACCTCGGCCGATGAGAGTATCCGGAACTCCGGTTGGTTTGAGCGATTTATTTGCCTACACAGTATAGCATGATATGCACAGGCCGAGTCACATGATTCCAGAGGTCCTTCTCTCATGGATAAATCGCACGATACTGAAATTACGGCGTCTTCACCACTCAGGGACTGTCCACGTTCTTCCCTCGCCTGCATTGCGAGTACTGTCGGACACGTGACCGCTTTGGTGGAGGCACGGCCCGAGTTAGTGTGTATGTGTGCAAGTGTTCATAATCGAGGAAATAGTAGGTCTTTTTGGGGCCTAGAAAAGGCTATCTGAATTGATGATCAAGAGGCTGATTTTAAGGCCTTTAACTGTGTGTTCGTTCGTTGTTGTTGTTCGTTGTTGTTGTTCGTTGTTGATCGTGCTGTGTGCTGATTCCTTCATTCCAGCCATCTCCAGACCCCTCTTTGCTTAGTCACCGCGGTCCGACCCTTTTCGGTCTGACAGAGGTCCTTCTCTCATGGATAAATCGCACGATACTGAAATTACGGCGTCTTCACCACTCAGGGACTGTCCACGTTCTTCCCTCGCCTGCATTGCGAGTACCCAATCCGATGGTGTCTCGCAGAACTTCTTGCAGCCAGCCGGGCCACGCCCTCACACCGCTCAACAAAGCTCGCGAGTTTGGGACAGTGATCTGCCCACCGCGCTTGCTCCAGATCCTCTCGCTGATGGCATCCGCAACGACATTGCTGGTCAAGAGAGTGAGCCCAGAGGCCGTCAGGCCATCGGCAACCTCTGCGATGAGCGGCGTGTCCACGAAGAAAGGATGCACGACGGTCGTGAGGACATTGTCGGCGCGGTAGATGTGCTTCAACTCGACCCCGAGACCTTCATGGAAAGCCAGCGCTGCAGCCTTGGTGGCAGCGTACGCCACGCCAGAGGACAGGCTGACAAAGGAGCCAATGCTCGCCACGGTGACAATATGGCCCTTGTTCTTCTCAATCATGTGTGGCATGAATTGCTGCACGCAGAGCCAATGCGCAATATTGTTGACGCCGAAGACAGTCCGCAGATACGGCTCGGACTGGTCTAGTATGGGCTTCGCCTGCGAAACACCAGCATTGTTGACCAGTATCGTCGGGTGCCCAACGTCCCTGCGCACAGCCGCCGCCGCCGCCCCGATCGAGCCCTTGGACATGAGATCGCAGTGATAGTGCGAGATGAGAGGATTGCCATGCAGTTCCTTGGGCATGTCCTGGATGTCGAGAACAACGACCTTGGTACCCCTGCCGGCGAGGTTGCGCGCCAAATCCTTGCCAATGCCGCTGGCCCCTCCCGTCACGACCGCGATCTCCTCAGACCAGTTCCATCCCTTGCTGGGGCCGGTGCGCCAGGCATTCGCCGCTCGAACGTTCAAGTTCTGATTGACAAAGCGCAGCAACCCCACGCCAAAGAGAAGGCGCAGTGCGGTGATTGCGAGCTCCAGGTCGAGCGCGCCGAGCCCCAGGAGCCCCCTTGCACACGTGGACAGCAAGCTCTGACTTTCGTTGGGGCGGTACGTGACTGCAGCGAGGAGGGGGCCGCTGACAAATGGTGATAGAACCAGATTGTAGACATGGCTTATGAGGCCACCCAAGATTGCGGCCATCAAGTCTCATTAGCAATGCTCTTCGCTGTCAGATGTTTGCATAGCGCCGGAGAGGAAGAAATTGTTGAGCTGGCCCGGTAGATACAATCGATTTTCCGGCCGTATCCGCTATCTTGGCCCCTGTCACCTCAATGCCATTTGCCCATTTCCACCTTTTCGGGCGGGGATTTACGGCTGTTATTGCATGCATGCACTATATCAGCCGTCTTGACGTTTGGCCCTTGCTGTATCCATTCTTTTGACAGCACTCTTCAATGACTGATCAATGAGTGAGACAACGGCCGCGACTCTGCTGTTGCTGAAGATTCACCAATCCCCCCCCCGCGCTTGGTGATCTTCGCTCCATCCCGTGTCAGTACGTAGACTGTTCCAGAATATGTGATTATCCAATGAAGCGCGACGCAATTTCCCAGCGTCCGAGGCGGCATGTGAACCGCTTCCCCGCAAACCGGCTGACCGGAGCGGCTGAGCCCCTCTCGTCCTGGGAAGGCTGGGATGGTGGCACTGGTTGGGGATTGACGCCGCGCACTTGACTTGACTGTCCCTGCCCTGGCGAACGTCACTGTGGCCCCCAACCCCCAGGGACCAAGTAGCCAGACCGTTTCCCTCTGGAGCAGTGTGCTCAGTGCTGAGACGACCAGCTGGACATGGCCAGAGTCCAGCCCAGCCCAGCCCAGCCCACATTGCAGGGATCGCCCTCGTTGATTCGGCAGCGCGGCTGTGTCAAAGGCCCAGTCGCTTATCGGTGTTTAGCAGCAGCATGCACCGCGACTTGGTGCAAAGGGTGGCATAACTTGATCCTTGACAACATACATATACCAGACTGCTCGTAGACGCAACAATCATCAAATCAAGATCGCGACGAGATTCAATCAGCATGGTGTTCCCAGGACGGTTCAGCACAGGATGCATGCGCTGTCGTCAGCGCAAGGTCAAGGTGAGCAAAACGACTGACCGCATCGCCCGCACGTGACGGGCGAGCGCGAGCATCTCTCCCTACCTACTTGGCATGGACGCATGCGTGCTCACGACAGCAATCAATTGAATGGACGCAACAAGGCCAACACGTACGAGATGGAACATGGACTGACGATACACACTAGTGTGATGAAGGCAAGCCATCCTGCCGGAGATGCTACATCTATGGCAAGGAGTGTCCGGGCTACACCGACCAGTTCCATTTCCGCCACGAACTCACAGCTTCAAGCTTCAAAAAGTCAGCGACGACGCAGCGGCGAAAGAACTCTCCAATTTCGACCGCTTCGGTGAAATTAACAAATTCCAACAAGAAGAAAGTGGAGAAGGATAGCAGCACGAGCACCTCGAAGGGCAGCCCCTCCTCAGCATGCGTACCAGTCTGGTCGCCGACGACGCCAGTAGCCACAACGTTGAGCATTTCGACGGATGACATATCCTTGTGTTACTTTGTGCATCGATTCGTAACCCCCGCCGGCCTGGATGGGTTCCCAGGACACTTGACCTTCCTGCCCACCTTGTATGACAAGCATCAGGACGATGGTGGCGTGCTGGAGCTGGCAACCAAAAGTGTCGCCAAGATGGCAGTGTACAACAAATTCGGCGGCGATGATTTCCGATTCCAATCGTACCAAGCATACGGAAAGGCGATCCGGAGCTTACAGAACGCCATCCAGGACGAGACGCAGGTGATGGACGACAAGGTGCTCGCGGCCGTGTTGCTGCTGTGCACGCTCAAGGACGTGAGTGGTGAAGGGGTGGGGGACCCGAGCGAGCATGCTGCAGGACTGTACTATCTGTTGGAGCGGCGAGGCGTAGAGCAGTTGGCGACGCGTAGAGGTGTCGAGCTGTTCCTACTGTCTCTCATACGCTTGGTAAGTCCAGGAATACGTTTTCGGTGCCGACATGCTGACCTGGTGCAGCAAGTATACTCGTTCCTTCGAGAAGATGACACATACAGCGACCCGGGAGGTTTGACGTCTGCACTCGGGGCTTTCGATCCTCTTATCCGCGCAATGTTCATGATGACCAGAGTTCTGTCTCTTAGAAACACCCTTTCCAAGTACGTGCCCATGGGTATCCTGCCTGGCCAGCCGTGGAAGCAACCTGTCCTGGACATAAACGACGAGGGCCACGAGACCGTTATTCAAGAATGTCTCCATGCCCTGCAGGACTTTGACACGTGGGACATGGAAGCTGCATCGTACTGGCAGAACACCTTTCAAGGCCGCACGCTCCCGACTCGCCTCGGCGAAGTGGGGACGAGCATGACCTATTGCGATCAGCAGACCGCTTGTACAATCATCCTGATCCGCTCCGCACGGTTGATTCTGGTGCTCAGCTTACTCATCTACCACGATCTTGCCACTGTTCCCGTGGGCAACCTAGAGGCATGGGTGCAGTGGGTGCCTGTACTGCAAAATGACCTTCATTGTACCATTGACGACATTCTTGCTTGTGTGCCCTTCGCACTGGGAGACGTGGATCAGGATGGGAAACCGAGAACCATGAGCTATGACGGGGCGGGGGCCATCATCATCATTCAGCCGTTGCGACTGGTCACATGGTGTATCTACGCGAAGCCTGAGCAACACCAGATCGCGCGGAACATTCTGGGACGCATCAACGCCGCCATAGGCATCCGAGCAGCTGTCTCATGGCATAACGCAGCCCTGCACAGTGATGGAGAGCAACTGGCCGAGTGGCAGCCAGACGTGTGTGAGGGCAAAGGTGGCTGGACTAGGGAGGTTACTTTTGTATCTGAGTTGTCTTGAGTTTCTGCGTATACGATACCTGGGTTACTTTATCTTGCGAATTTGTCGGTTCAACTCGATTCTCTCCAAGACCTCCAAGTCTCTCTCTCGCAGCAATGCTGCCGCCGATGCGACGGGCCCGGCCACAGCAGTCCAGAATCCGACTTTGCCCACAGTTCGTAGTAGGCTCTTCTGAGGCAACGCCTGGTGCTTCTGGTAGATGGCCCAGACAACAAACGCTGCGCAAGCACAGTAGATATCCCACCGGAGGAAATTGGTGACAATCTCTTTCTGCGCCAGTGCCGACACAGGTGGTCTCATGAGGGTTCTGATGGGTGGATCTGTCAACGACGTCGGTGCCAGCATCTTGGACAGAGATAGCCCAGGCATGTTTGACAGTGTCTTCGACGAGATGACGGTTCCCATCATCAATCCGTGCGCGACTCCACTGAATACCATGACGAAATGGTATACACCCCGCAGAGACACGAGGAGTCGGTCTGTCGTTTCCTTCGGTTTCTTGTCCGGGTCCACTAGTTTCTTGACGAGTGGATGGAAGAGGGAGTGCAAGAGCGGAAATGGCTGCCACAACGCAATGATAATGTAGTTCTCCCTGGGCGATAGGATGCCGAGTGATGGGAGGATCATGAAGAGGCTCGGCACAATGTACGACATTGTTGATATCCATGGCAGAATGTCCGCGTCTGTGGGATCCACGACGACATCTTCGTAACCAGCTCGATCGGGTGAGTAGAGGACGTTCAAAGCGAGGTAGATGGGTGCCGCAATCGTAATCGTCACCAGCTGTCCTAGCATTCCCCATGAACCGGTGCTGTTGTTCGTTAGCCTCCACTAGGTAGACACTCAGGTGGTGTCTGGTCTTACTAGCTGAAGACTGTGCGCCGATTCTTCTTGCGAAGACCTTCGAGCGCCATCAAGGACCAAAGTCCCCCAAACTGCGCTGCCATGTACGACATGGTGAGGACTCCTTGCCAATCAATGTCCTGTCCGTAGTTGACGATGGAAACGGCAAAAAACTCGAGGAGAAGCCCCACAGTATCGTCAATGGACGGAACACCCGTGTAGACCGGTCGGTATGTTGGGCCGGATCTTGCTAGGACGCATCGTGGCTTGAGCCACATGGATTTTTTGGTCGTGCAAATCTTGACAGCGTCAAAGAAGCCATGCCTCACGGCGAGATACATTCCCCCATAGCCACCGACGAGCGCGCACGAGAGGATGAGGGCGATGGCAATGGTCCTGAACATTGTGCAAGTCGCGATTCAAAGAGACACGGGAGAAGGAGCTTCAGCTCTTGCACAACCATGGATTCTTGTACCAAGCAAAGTGTCCCAGCTGAAGTAGACAGGGCATGAGCTGAAATTTCTGCACGTGCGAAGCCACGTAAATCTCTGTAGTGCTTTATCTAATCAAATCTGCCCGAGCTCGATATCAAATCTCAACGGAAGCTTCAGCAAAGATCCGTGGGTCCAGTCAGTTCACATGCATGTATCGCAACCCGGTCAGTTATTGCGCATGGGCTCACAACTGCTTGTCTTCAGAGCCTCCCCTTGGAAATTGTTCCTGCAAGCTGCGAATCAATTTACAGTCATCCTTCGAGTGCGAAGTGACAACCTTCTTCTTCGCAGTCTCAGTCAGGACTCACACGTAGTCTGAGGCCCAAGCAACACAAAATTTCAGTAAATCCATATCAGCCAAGACTCGCCTGCTAGACTGCATTCGAGTGATTGGACCCAGACGAACTCCCCAGCGCTCATGAATTCCAGCAGACGAGCAAGTTTCTAGCATAAATTCGCTAGGGATTGCGTCTCGAACCGACCCCCTCTCCTCGCACGTTCTTCGCAGGCTAAACCCCAATCGCGTCCTTCTTGCGACCTGCATGCTTAATAGGAAATGGGAACCACCACTGACACAGCTCGGAGCTCCCCCGCACCCTAAAGCTTGTGATGTCCCAGGGTAGGGTCGCGATCAAATGTGGTTGCACTGATCATCTGTTGGGATCGTCTCGCAATCATGGCAGCCTTACTGGGCTCGGCTTTGCGAGGCGCGCCGGAGCATTTCCTTTCCTGGTCTGCGACGGCAACCCTTCGCAAACTATCAACGGGTCTAGCGATGACAATAGATTAGCCAACGCCAGCGTCGTCGCAGCCTGTTCTGTGTCAATCAACTACAACTAACTACACGTACCAAGTACTCGGTCGGACCTGGGGTCTTTGTTGCGGGACGTAGAGCTCAATTGTCAAACCTCGGGCAAGGCGTCCATGTCCTACAAGAGCACATATCGAACGGATTTTCTTGTTGAAAACATCAAAGACGCAAAGATGGACAAAGTGCGACAGGTTTGCAGCGTCCCCGGCCTTACGGTAGCGGCTCTTGCGCAGTCGCTCCTTGCGATCAAGCTGTTCCCAAACTACTGCAGCTCAGAAAGCCACCTTCGGACTGTCGCCCTCATGATCCTTGCGAACTATGCATTCGGCGCCATTTTCTGGACTTTTCTATATCCGAATTTCCTCAGTCCACTGCGGCACTTGCCAGGGCAAAAGGCCTTGGTGAGCCTCTCTCACCGGTCGCTGATGGTAACCCATCGACCATCGGGTGACCTTTTTCTGGACCTGGTCAAGCAGTACCCAAATGAGCCACTGCTCAACCTCACGCTCACTCGGAGTCAGGTCCTAGTCACAGATCCGAAGCTGTTGGCGGATGTACTCGTTCACAATTGTTATGACTTTGCGAAACCAGCAAAGATTCGCAAATTCCTGCATCATGTCCTGGGCGCCGGCCTCGTCGTTCTGGAAGGCGACCCTCACAAGTTTATGCGAAAGAACACGATGCCCGCCTTTGGGTTTCGGCATATCAAGGATCTTTACCCGATGATGTATCAAAAAGCCGAGACACTTGCCAGAGCCTTGCGCTACGAAACGGCGGGAAACACCCAGTCGATTGAACTATCGACTTGGGCCAGCAAAGTGACCATTGACATCATCGGGGTAGCTGGCATGGGCCGTAAGCTGAATGTTGTCGAAAAGGGCGAAGACCCATTGCAGACTATATACGAGAGCCTCCTAGAGCCATCGACGGAGAAATTGCTCTTCTCCATGTTGTCATTTGTATTCGGTCTGCCTGTGGTCAGGTGGATTCCGTGGAGGATGAATGGTATTTTCGACCAGCTGACAGGATCTCTGAACGACATATGCATGCCCATGATTCGAGAGAAGAGGCAAGCCATCGAGGAGAAAGGCGACGACCACTTTGACATTCTGTCGTTGCTCATCAAGACCAACAACTTCACTGATGTCGAGCTCAAGGATCAACTGCTGACATTCCTGGCTGCTGGGTGCGTAGTCTGCAACTACCGTGGAGCTTGTCACTAACGATGTCTAGTCACGAAACGACCGCCTCGTCTCTGACCTGGGCGTGCTACCTGCTAGCCAAGCATCCCGAACTTCAAATGACGCTCCGCACAGAGGTGCAGGCAGCATTCCCTAGGAATCCTCTCGACGATCCCGCCTCTCTCGCAACCACACTCGAGTCTTTGCCTTTCTTGAACGGTGTCATCCAAGAGACCTTGCGTCTGTATCCCACTGTGCCGCTCACGCTTCGCGAGGCCCAGAAAGACACATTTGCGAATGGCCAATTTATTCCAAAGGGTACGACACTCGTGCTATCCATGTGGATGACTAACCGGTCTCCCAAGATCTGGGGTCCACAAGCTGGAGAATGCAGGCCCGAGCGTTGGATCAACGATGATGGGAAACCCAACCAGACTGGCGGGACAAGCAGCAATTACGACTTTTTGACATTCTTGCACGGTCCAAGGAGCTGTATTGGACAGGGCTTCGCCAAAGCTGAGATGAGGTGCTTGCTTGCCATGATGGTCTTATCGTTCGAATGGCAGCTAGGCATGAAGGAAGAAGACGTCATGCCAAGGGGTGTGATCACAATCAAGGCCGCCAAAGGTATGCATCTAAAGCTGACGGCTCTGAGTGCCGGTGAAAAGGCAACGTAGTAACAGCATGGCAAAGGAAAGTTGCCAGAGAATCCAAAAATGTGAAAAAAGGCTGCAACGAAGAGAAGCGAGTACAGATTTCTCAAGTAGTGACTTCGTGCAGACTTCAGTGCCTGATTGTTCATGTACGTCCAGACACCTGGGGGAGGCGGCGGTCAGGACGAGCGGGTATGAGCCGCCTGACTCGGAGCAATGCGTGGAAGACATGCATCACGTGACGAATTGAGTCACGGTCGCAAACACCACGAAATCCCGGTCGTCACGATTGCCCATGGTCAACCTATTCTCGCCAATTAAACCCCAGGCGCCTTCATTCCAGCCTACCGATTTCGTGAAGTAATTCCCACGCGCTTCACAATCTCTCGAAAATGATATGACTCTGGCGCGATCTGGCAACCATGCGCTCGCCTCGAAACGCAGTCCCTCGCATAGCTGAGCTCCGGAACCTCGTCTACACGCAGACCCCGCGAAGATGCTTGTCTTCCGCAACGGGGAGCTTCCAGGCCAGCCGTGGCTCTGTTACGGCGTCAGTATGTAACAGCTTCTTTCTTTCAAATCGATTATTCGACCGATCAACATGTCTCGACTCGCTGATCCGAGCACGACCGACTTCAACCAACACAACCACAACGGCATCAGTTTCAGCTTCATCACAACCACCTACCGAACTCCCTCCACACCGCCGACGACAGGCTAGAAAACGAGAAGAGGCACAAGCGGCGGAACCTCTGCCACCCGATGCTTCTTCGCTACTCGCCGCGCGCGCAGCCGCCAGCCCTGACCAGTCCCTTCGGCGCACCCTATCATCCATTCTCTCCCTTACCAAACCACGACTGACCGTCCTTGTCGTGCTGTCCGCCATGGCACCCTATGCATTGTACCCCGTGCCAGAGATTCTGGCGCCCAGTATGACCAACACCCCGAGCTTGAGTCCGCTGACTCTGCTGTTCCTCACGACGGGCACGGCGCTATGCTCGGCCAGCGCCAACACACTAAACATGCTTTACGAACCATTATCGGATGCAAAGATGTCACGCACGAGAAACAGGCCGCTTGTCAGGAACTTGCTTTCCAAGAAAACCGCGGTGCTCTTCGCCCTTGCTGCCGGCGCTACTGGCGTTGCAGCGCTCTATTTTGGCGTGAACCCTACGGTCTCAGGGTTGGGCCTTGCAAATATTGTCCTATATGCTGGGATATACACACCGCTCAAGGCTGTGACGGCGTTCAATACCTGGATTGGAGCCGTCGTTGGAGGAATCCCGCCGTTGATGGGCTGGGCGGCAGCCGCCGGTGAGACCGCAACCAAGGATGGCTCGTGGCGTGAGCTCCTCCTTGCCAGTGATGGTTCTTCCATTGGAGGCTGGCTCATGGCCAGTCTTCTCTTCGCCTGGCAGTTCCCTCATTTCATGTCCCTGAGCTGGGGCATTCGCGAAGAGTACAAGAACGCCGGCCTGCGGATGCTCGCGTGGACCAATCCAGCACGCAACGCCCGGGTCGCTTTGCGGTACAGTCTGGTCTTTCCTCCGATCTGTCTCGCTCTGTGCGCTGCGGGTGTGACGAACTGGGGCTTTGCGGTAACCAGTCTGCCTTTGAACGCGTGGCTGATTCGCGACGCGGTGCGCATGTGGCGACAGCAAGGGCATAATGGCACCGCACGGGGTCTATTCTGGGCGAGCGTTTGGCACTTGCCTGGTGTCATGATGCTCGCGTTGGTACACAAGAAAGGCATGTGGACCAGAGCGTGGACGAGCGTATTCGGCGGAGGGGATGGCAGTTGGGAAGACGAGGAGCTCGAGGAGATGAAGAGTATGACGGCGGAACGAGTGGCGGAGACGGCGCCAGTCGCCAAGAGGTAGCTTGCTGGCCAGCTGCGCTCAGCTTGCGTGTACGATGTGCAACTGTACTCAATAAGATGTATCGCATGTACTGCATGACAACAAATAGATCTCAATAGCATTATATCGCAAAAGCTTGTACGAGTGTGCCAACATGGCCCGAATCCCCTTGTGTAGCAAATCCACCATCTGAGAACGCCAAAACGCCAAACAATGTATCATCCGGTCAACATCCGCCCGTCACCGCACTTACACCCTACTCGGTCGATTGATAATCGCCTCAATGTTCATGTCCACACTCGGCAGCCGTTGACCTGGCATGTACGAACTCTCGTCCTCACTACCACCAAACCCCTGCGCTGCACTCGCTGTCGAGCTCACACTGCTCGAGTACCGGTGCTGTCCCTGGTATCCATGCATGCCATACCCCGCAAACCCAGCGTTCACAACTTGCCGGTACTGATGACGAGGATGGTGATGTTCCTGGTGTTGCTGAAGGTAGGGTAATGAGCTCGTCGACGCGGCATGCTGGTGGTGGATGCGCCGGTCGGGACTGTGGCTACTGCTGCTGCCGCTGCTGAAGTTCTCGCTTCCGACGTCTACTTCATCCACAGGAGTCAACCCGCTGATGCCGCTCACACCGCTGTCGTCGTTTTCATACCCTGTCATGCTGTTCGTTGCCGCCGCGTGCTGCTGTTGGAGACGCTCATGTCTGGCGCCGGCCCTCGCCGCGCTCTGGAGGTTCTTGAGGCCATTCGCCATACACTTAGGTACGTCAGTACGTGATTTTATCGGGGTGAAGAGTGGGAGAAGGTTACGTTAGAGTGATAAGTGCAAAGAAGAGGAAAGTACCTTTTGCTCAACGACCATCCACTTCTCGCCCGTCTTGGCAGCAAGGCCACTCCAGATCTCCTTTCGCATAGACATGTATTCTCTCGCCAGCTTTTGGAGCTTGCGGTTGTCCCAGTCGTCAGCGTCTCTTCTCTCCTGCAGACGCTCGTGTCGCTTTCGGCAGGCATTGGCGGTTTTCATGGGAAAGTAGGCATCCTTGATTTGAGACCAGTTCAGCCCTTGTGCTCGAGCAGCGATGAGGTTTTGATCGTCTTGTATGGTCCATGCTCCTGAGCTTGGGCGATGTGACGCTGGCAAAGGGATATTGGCCGGTGCAGACGAAGAGATAGTCTGGAAGCTGTCGAATGTGCTGGGTAGAGGCTGCTGTTGTGTGCCCAGATGCATATCCGAGGAGGGCATGCTGTTGAAGTTGAAGTGGCCATTATTATTTTGTGTTGCCATGCGTGGCGTATACATGGGTGACGGAGCCAGGGTGTAGGGGTGCTGTCCCATGCTGTGGCCTGCGCTACTGGTGGCACGATGTCCCCGAGGCATGGTGATGACTGGTATAGTCGGGATGTATTGCAACACAATTGTAACAGAATATGGTCATGTAGGTGGCCGGCCTAGGTCTGAAGCAGGTCCCGCAGAATGGTAACGAATTGAATGGGGGAACAGATATGACTCCTGCAAATGCCGACACAGACAAGATAGGAAAGACAGTAGGAAAGACAAACGAAAGACCAAAGAAATGAAAAGGCCGAGGTACTGGCTCTCGAATGTTGTCGTGGAATGTTTACGGGTCAGAAAGGGAAGAAGAGATGACCGGAATTATGGACAAGGCCTGCGCTTTAAGCGTGGCCTGGCCAGGGGAATCTGCTCAGATGGACGGAAAGCCAATCTCAACATCGGCGGCTCTGCAGATGAAACAAGTCTTTCTAGGCATGCAGACTCTCTTGGGCGGTAGAAAGAACATGAAACGGACTTTGCGTTCCGAAAGGGAAGACTTTGGAAGATTGGCGTGTCGACATTGGTCATGTGTTTGGACCGGGCGGCTATATCCAATGTAAGTTCCCCTGGCGGTTATTAGATACAAGACGGTATAGACAGTAAGTATTGAAACTAATTTGAGCAGCAATCTTGCCGAAGATCAGCAAGGTGTACTCTGATGGGGGGACAGTGACAACTATTGCAGTCGTTCGAGATGCCCAACTCCCGCTACGCTGGCCGACAGTATGCACCAGTCTATGGCGTACCAGCAGGGAATTTCAGCAACTCACACTGATCGTTTGTCCCAAACACATGGTTTGGGCCGGCATTGATGATAGCAATTGTCCGTGAACAGCGTCATTTGGTACCTGCATACGCGCACGGGTTCCTGACATTCGCGCATGTCTGTCATCGGCAGCTCTGTTCGTGCTGGTGCTAGCTTGCTCTCGATAATGAGAAGCCAGGACAACGCTGGGAATTGTGCAAGCGGACCTCATGACGCTGAGCAGAAAGGAACGCGGCGCCAAAGACCCATATTCAGGAGATGAAGTTGTTGTTGCGGGGTCTGAAGTAGGATCTGATTGGCATACCGTGGATCGCAAGCGCGCGTTTAGGCACCCTTTCGCTAGATTGCCGCTGTCGTTTCGCTGAAAGGGGACTAGTGCGTTCCTTTCCAGCTCTCTGGTCGTCGAGCATATACCTTTCTTGAGGGTGGTTTTACTCCAGCCCTGCGTCGAGGCGCCAGCATGAGCTACAATGGAGCATTCCATTCATGCTGTTTCAGCTTCGGTGCTTGTGTGCGCAAACTTTCCAACCAACGTGCCGCGAGAAAGTGGACAGAGAGGTGTATCATCCCAGTTCCTACACCGAGATTGCCTACCCTGAGTCACCAATGAGCATTCCATCATGTCCAACTAGGTCACTGGACCACCCGTCTTACTACAATCTGTTAAAGTAATCTTTTCCAGTAGCTAACATATTCCACCTTCAATTCGGGAGTATCATTGGCCGTGCAGCGTGGTCGAACCGAGGGAAATCAAGTATGACGCTGTCCAGCAGAGGCTAGGACCTGGATATTGCCGAATGACTACACGGACTTCAACAATGTGATTACTGGAATAACGTGATTGATAAGCGAACCGCCTAGACAAGCGAACCGCCCACTTTCCTATCATCATCTATCATCATTATTTGATCAATTGTTCCACAATAACTAGCAATGTCAGATCAAAGGAATAAAGCTAATACCCTTCTTGCTATTCAAGCGCTTCAAACCAACCCAAAATTAAGTGTGCGACGCGTGGCTAAGATCTACAATATTCCACGCACGACGCTAAGAGATCGCAAGCACGGAACTTAATTAAGACGCGATATAATAGCTAATTCGCGGAAACTATCCGATCTTAAAGAACCGAAGCTAGTCGAGTATATACTCGATCTAGATTCGCGAGGATTTTCCCCTTAGATCAGTGGTGTTGAAGAAATAGCTAATCTATTGCGTATCGACCGCGACGCGTTACCCGTTAGTAAGCGCTAGGCAGGGAATTTTATCAGGCGGTAACTAGAGCTTAAGACGCGTTTCTTTCGCAGATATGACTACCAGAGGGCCAAATACGAAGATCTAGTCGCTATAAACGCGTGGTTTCGACTTATGGCGAATACAATCGCGAAGTATAGCATCTAATCAGATAATATCCATAACTTCGACGAGATAGGCTTTATAATAGGCGTTATTATAAGCGGTATAGTTATCATAGGCGCCGAAAGGCGTAGGAACCCGAAAAGAGTCTAGCCTAGAAACCGGGAATAGGTTATAGTTATTTAATCGATCTCTACACAAGGCTAGGTAGCGCCGCCGTTCATCGTTATTATAGGCTAATATCACCTCTCAAGCTGGTATTAAGAAAGCACTCTCCCTGGCAATTGGGCTATCGCAACTACGAAAAACGGCTAGACCGATAATACTACGGGTCTCCTATAGCTAAAGCACTTTAATCAATATATAGAGAAGCGATCGAATAGTGCCTATCGTCTTCTAATCCTTAACGGCTATAAAAGCCACCACTCTACCGATTTCGAGGCATATTATAAGGAGAATAAGATTATTACGCTCTATATACCTCCTTATTCGTCTTACCTACTCCAGCCTCTTAATATAGGCTGCTTTAGGCCGCTTAAAACAGTATACGGTCGAGAAATAGAGTATCTAATCAAATACTCTATAACATACGTTTCAAAGACTGAGTTTCTTCACGCCTTCCACGCTATATTCCGAGCTATATTAACTAAAAGCAATATCAAGGGAGGCTTTAGAGGGGCTAGAATTGCCCCTCTAGATACGGAATATATAATCTCGAAGCTGGATATGAAGCTATATACTCCAACGCCTCCTAAGGGGACTCTAGAGCTTCCTGACCCTTAGGTCTCAAAACCCCTAAGATAATTAAGGAGACTAAATCTTAGTCTACCTACCTTAAAAATCGAATTAAGAGACATAAAAGTAGCTCCCTAGTATCAATAATTAACGCTATAATGTCAATAACTAAGGGTTTAAAGGCATATTAGTACGAGATAGCGTTATTGAGGATAGAGGTCCGGGATCTTCGAGATACTAACTATATCCTTAGCCGGCGCCGGAGAGAGAAAAAGACCCGCCTACG